GGTGTGATGAATGGCTTCTCAACCTCAATTTCAACAAATGTCAATTCATCAGATTAAGGTCTGGTTACAGAGAGGGTTTGGGATCTGAATATCACTATTTCCGCGGCAGTCACGACCTCGAGCTTGTAAATGAGGTAAAGGACACTTGTGTGTGGATGATGTCCACTCTCAAACCCTCGCCTCACTGCGCCCAGATAGCAAAGAAGGCTATGAGCATCCTGGGAGCGATCAGGTGATCTTTCCTTAACTTTGACGAAGAACTTTTCGGTCGACGGTTTGGAACATTTATCCGACCGATTTTTGAATATGGTATTCGGGCATGGCGCTCCTGGATGAAGCAAGACTATACTCTCTTTGAGAAGGTGCAACAAAGAGCGACTAAACTAATCGGTGAGCTAAAGAACTTATCTTATGTGAAACGGCTAGAAAGACTCGAACTTTTTCATCCCCTTTTATAGGCAATACACAGCGGACATGATGATGGTCTTCAAACTTGTCAGAGGAGTAGACTGTGCACTCAAATTGGCCGATAATTTCAAACTAGCGCAAACGACAAACTTCTGAGTTTGCAGATATAAACAGAGGATAAAGTACGTCAAGCTTGAAGTGCGGGCGAATTTCTTCTCTCACCGGTTGAATTATGATTGGGACAATCTGCTGATATAGTTGTTCTGGCGGAAAGCGTTGGGACATATAAACGAAGACTTGATTACATTTTATATGAGGACCATGTGGTTACTTGATAAGAACTGATAAAATGTACCCGTTTATCTACGTAAATATATGTACGTTTTTCAGTGTATGTCTGTAAATAGGGTTTTCAAAGGCCATGCCTACCTCCAATATATACACTGAATTATACTGAACCACTCGTTCTCTAAGGTGAGGGCGTCAGGGATGGAGAACCGCTGTAAAAGGAATTCGTAAGATTTTTGAAAGTCTAAGATGGGCGTCCGGTCAGCGTCAAATGCGAGTCAGCGGGCGAGGGGAGAAACAGGAACGCAGCAGGTAACAGGTGAGTCCTTGAAGAGGCGGGGGCGGGAACACTTACGAGTGAAAGGGATAGGCATTACAACAATTCCCGCGTGTTCTGTCCAAGTACAGACAGTTAAGGGGTTAGGAGAGGACTAGGCCAATGGGGTTGATAGACGCTAGGTAATTGTGCGGAGTCAAATTGGTAAGTCACGGGAAATGAGGAAAAGGAATAGTGCGCTCATTGGCTGCGACCATTGTAATGTCATGCTGGTCTGGGAGATGGGTAGACGGGGATCACTCAAGTTAGTGTATAACTTTCGTTTATTCGTCACATAACCCGGCCTTTGGCGGTTCGTCTCTAAATGGTCTATGGTTCAAGCAAATGAAAGCAAACACGCGGAACAGGTGATGATGATTAAACAGCAATTGATGGATATAGATGATTTATTGGGCGGAAAAGTTATTACCTCGATAGGCAGTTACTCCCGATAAACTAAAGCACGCACAAACATAAATGATAACAGGAAGGTGGAAAAAGATGGGATCGGATTGTCGATCGTCAGTTGGAGGTCCGCACGCGTTCCATCGTTGTGACCGGTCTACAAGAGTGCCAGCGATTAAAACAAGGGGGTTTGATCCTTCAGGTATGCTGGGTTGCCCCGCGCCTTACCTCGTGTTTCGGCTGCGTTTTGAGTCGTTTTGCCGTTTGACCCCTTGTTGCATATATATAACCGGCTGCCCCCTTCCGATATGAAAAAGGAAGAAGTATTGGCTTGCTCTTTTGATTCCTGGTATAAAAAATTCGAAGAGTACACGGCTGAGAGGCAAGCCGTGTTTGTACTTAAAATTTTTTCAGTCTGATTTTTGATCTGCCAAATGAAGTTCTGGATTTCTTGAGGGACGCCCCTCTTATGTTGCCAAAAAAGTAAAATCCTGTAACCGTCTGACCCATTAGCCTCATGTCTATACGGAAGGATAACTCACAGTTTTCGGACTCTGACGAGGTAGCTTACTATGTTGATTAATTAACGCATTTATAGGATAATTGGTCTGACGAGGATACTGACGATTACCTCGATGCGAAGGTTTGTCTCTCTAATTATTAGACTGAACTCCCCAGCGACCTAATTTCCCCGACTTTGAAAAATTAGTTAATCAGGGGATCGAAAGTCTTGACGGTTATGTCTTTGCAAAACTAAATTGGAGTGCGCCAAAGGTTTGCCTGACTTTTGCCGAATCATTTTTTAGGACGCGACGTGGGTTTCTTTTGGAAATTCCTTGAAATGCCACTCGGCCGCTGACATATTGCTCCTTCTCAAGGCCTCGGACTTCGTCTCATATGATATTTTAGCTCCGTAATCCTTCATCATCATACTTTACTCAGTTAGGTTCTCCTTGTGTTCTGATGCGTCAGCCCCTGATCAAGCACATACCGACCTCAAGCTTATTCTGCGCAGATGGCACGACTTTCGTCCGGAGGGCGAATTCAGATGTTTTGTGAAGTCTCGTTCTATCATTGGTTAGTTTTCAGTGTTGTCCTTAAACCGTGAACATGCGTTCCATAACCTCCAGTCTGAATCATCAGCGGTCTTAGTCTCGAAGTAGTTTTGCGCAGTTTCCGCTTCATTTCTAGCTTAACCCCTTCGGCGTTGCTATTAATTGAATGTTTGCCAATAACACCGACGCCGTCGTCTCCTCGTCATCAAGGTTCTCTATAAGAACCGTAAAGACAGATGGTTTGCAAGGATTCTTATCGCAAGGACTGGTCACTTACTGTTTCCTGAGGGGTTCCGAACTTGACGCGAAATCTTCTGTACTACGTCGTTCCTTACTATTGCCATCATCTTGTATTTTCCATTTCACAAAAGCATCCAGGCTGAATACTTGCTAATTCAACTGTTCCTCCTCACCGATCATGAGCATTTCTTCTGGGGGCTGCTTAATACCCAAGTGATCTTTAGAGTTCTTACTATGTTCACCCTAGACGCCCAGAATGTCCGGATCTGCTGCAGCGGATCGTTACGCGTGGAGAGGTACAGTTCGGGACATCATCGAGGCCGGCTAGATCAGGCCTGATCGCAGCCGTACCAAGTACACGTACTCCCCATTTACGCAATGTTGGGTCTATGGTGTCTTAAGCTTTTCATGAAACACTTGTGTGGCAGTATGGTTCTATTAAGCATCCAATTCATACGGCTGGAAGCAATGGCCAAGTAGGTAAAAAAGCCTTTGGAACGTTCTTGGCAATGACGATTTCACAAAATATTTTGAACACGAATGTCTTGTCTACAAAACCTGGATGTACGTAAGGACCTGTATGGATTACCGGATTTCAGGCGACAGAAGAAGTCGTCTTAGAGGACGAATTTCCATGTTAACTGGATTGGTGGTGCGGTATTTGCGCCATATTATGTTGCCCTCGTAAATAGGCGGTAACATTGAAAAGCACTACCTGTCTTAAATCTCCTTTCACTTTTAAGTTGCTCCTTCTAAAGAGTAATTGTGGTCAACAAAGTAGGCGTCAACGTTTTCACGGTAACCTTGTCACGCGCATGTATGCTGACGTTCTCACAAACTAGTGATTTTGTCCGTTTCTAATATTCGGCTTCCATTGGTTGACTTCTTTGACTTGCACGTGTAATTTCACGTGATCTGCATATTACCAACACTAGGTAAGCCGTCCAAGCATTCGAAGTATTGTAGCAGTGGGACGCACGTTTTGTACTTAGACGTTAGAATATTATAAGTCGTTATCTAGGTGGTATGCCATTTCCAATTGTCCCAGAATGTCGGACTCGAGATTTCCTTAGGGTCTGCCTTAAAATACTCGTTCATTACCTTAAAACTAGCCATAATACCAGCCCTACGAATGTCCTCAGATGATGTCGCGGACCAATTGCCACTTAAGTCACTAGAACACATAACTGCACCAGCTATGACGGCCACATTTCATAACATCATCATCAATATGTCCCCGGACCAGCTGTGAAGTTATTCTGTTCAGCCATGATCCATCAAGCGAAACATCAGTACGTTTCCGGAGGTATCAGTTCCTAACTTTATTGGTCACTGGCCGTTCTGTAGAAAGTAGCGTCCACACTTTGCACCGATAGGACGGCCCTTGTGCCAGCTAGCCAAGAGTTAAATTATTGTGAATCCAGCTAGCCTCGCAGTCAATAAACCTTGTAACAAGAGTTGCTCTTGCGATGGTCTGCGCCTCCACGAAATCCCTCTGACTTCTGTAAACATTCCTGCTACCAGTGTTTATACTTTAACGTCAAGCCATCTACAGCGATCATTTCGGTTATAATGAACTACAGTTCGTTTCACTTCCAACAGACGGAGACTGTCCGAAACTTAAGTACTTGTTTGCACTACTTCATTTTACCCGCACACGCCCAAACGATGGCGATATCGGTACCACGTTTTAAATTCTTCGAAGCCCCAATAACGTAGAGATAATGAGTCAAAACGTCGGCGATCTTTACCTGTCTGGACGTAAAGGCTAACGGTAAAGTTCTTATGGTAGGCAGTATTCGGTTTCTGTTTGCCCTCGCCTATGCTTATTTGTAATACTGACCCTGTCTTTGGTCGTCCAAAAGAACGACAGTCGATTTCAGGTTTTCCATTGCATACTTTTCTACTGTCCACGCTGCAAACATTTCACATTGCAGTGTCATTTTTTAAACCTGGAAAAGAAGTAATGAGTTTGACTGCTGAGGCATTTGTCGGAGCCTTTTTACATTTTATCGCTACGTACGTCGTCACTTGTTTGTCTTTTTTGTTTGGTGCCGTGGACTTCAGGCTTTTATATGACCCTATGGGAAAGGCGAATATTTGAAAGTGTTCTAAATAATGTAGTACTTAGGCTTCTTGAACTAACACAGATAACCTTTGAATTCCTTGCCTGAATATACGCGCTATCATACGTCTACAGGTTTCTGGATGCTGCGTGCATATCATAGCAATTAAATGTTTATTAAGGTCGAGAATGTCCTAGGAGCGCATAAAGGTGACATGGCATGACAGTTCGACCGTCACAAACGACTACTTCTACTAGGTGCCCCACGTTGTGACCGCAGGATGGTGGCTTATGCGGCATCAACGATAGTCTTCTCTTTCATCCACTTGGAATCGATGCGAAGATAGAGTTAAGAAGGGCAGAGGCGGAATCGGGCGCAGTGGCTGACAAAGCTAAACAGTCTGTCTACGTGCGCGCCACGTAAACCTAGTCCCCACAATGTGTGATGGGCTTTCACGAGAGGACGACTCGGATCCCACATGCTTGGGAGTGTTTTGGAGGCCGCATTAAGGGGAAGCTATTGCAGCCTGCTTCACAGTCCTCCGAAATACTCCCACGAAGGCAGAGTTACGCCGTCAATTGCCAGCCTTCCAAGCCACGACCTAGCGCCACCTAACAAATTATAGTATGTCAGATTTATTATAGTCCGGAACGCGTTCACGTGGCTTGAGAGTAGATTCCTCGTTGTCTTCCCTTTCTCAGTCACCAGTCGACTGTTCGAGCCTGCCAGTCAACGCGGCGTGAAGGCCTGCGTCTAGGCATGCTGCCACATCCTTCCCATGTACAGCATTAGGTATGGGCTCGCGCGGACTCTGCGCAGCCTGATGAAGACGTGCCATGAGCTGGTTTGACTTCCGTTTTGGTCAAACGCATCTTCAGCGCTGCCCGTTGTGGGGGCCATCACATAAAGTTACACCAAGGTAAACATGCCTGTCTTCTATCTTACGACCACTGGAATCACTCCCAAATGCATGTACCGCCTTAAAACATTTTTTCCCAAAACCGACGTCTTAGCCGATTTGTTCCAGACGGACCTTTCTACGAACGTCTCTCAAGAGACGAATTTGTCGCAATTACTCCTACAGGAACTGGGATCAATTATAGCATGCAAACAACTTGCTGGGACAGGGTTATTTTGGGCAGGAAACAAAATATTCAATAGGCAACCGGTATGTGTGGGCCCGTGCTGCACGTAGGTCGTCTTGACAGACCCGCGTAAGTATTGCTTTCCGTTTAGGGGGAAAATCCAAGAACAGCTGTCAGCGTTGCTTCATGTTCATAGAATGGTGAGGGGCGGATAAGTCTTATCCCATGTCACCGACTTCGTTCTAAAGCCCAGCAAGACACAAATTTATACCTTTACGTTCTTACTTATCAGGCCAGTTTCGTCGCGACTCAAATCCTTTCACGACTTTGTACACTTTACGTATTTCAGCTATTTCTCAAAGGAACTGGGACGCCTACTTCACCTTTGTGGATACTGAACAGGCAAACATTGTGCAGGCGATTGTGAAATTCTTCCAAGAAAAAGTCAGGGATCGCTTCCCTCTTCAAGACTGTATTGCGCTATTTCTAATTTAATATACATGTTTAGATGTACTGGACGTCTATACCAGTCGGAACGTAAGGCGTCGTTGGGCTTGCATTTCTCCTTCGTTCTTAGTTCCGCTCTTCCAAGTGTGTTAAGATTATCGATTTTAATGTGTTCGGCCCTCCTACGGACGCACTTCTTTTTCAATGGCCTGAACTAGAGGCCGCAAATCCTGATCAGGTTAGTCCATTCTTTGAGAGTTGTAGCCTCCTTTTGAGGAGCTCTATTGTCTTTATTCAGACCTGAATATTTGGCAGGTCTATATTGGTGTATGCCATAGTTCATTCAGATAGACCAACGTCTGGACTATTCTTCTAAACGAAACACGCATGAAGAATTCCACAGTGTTGTTCCTAAATCACTGTATTCGTGGCGAAACAGAAGCTTTCTATTCACATCAAATACACGCGTCTCCTTTGTCTCAAAATTCAAAACTGCAAATGTAATGAGAGTGTCTGGCCAAGACTAGCGAAGCTGACATGACCGGAAAAAATATCTGTTGCGCGAATGGGAGCGTCCCGTCTCGCAAGCTCGGTCCCTGATTTTAAACCTGATGTGAAGGCGTCTGTGTACATGAAGTTTCAGTTCTAGCGGCTCGCACTGAAACTAGTTGGTTGTAAGCCTGAAATCCAGTCAATGGAAGAGTTCAGTTTTAGATAAATAAGGCTGAGGACGATGCTCTAAAACAGCTGCGGCATTTTCCAGCCATCATAAAATAACCAGCCCGTCTTAATTTGCTTGCTATTGCCTGCTACGTTGAAGTGCACACTGCCTTAGCTCCAGTGTTTTGTAAGCAACACTGCGGAACGGAATCGTGATGGCTTTCTAGGGAAATTAACCAAACCCACCGATTATCTGGTTTGATGTCTCCATGTATCGGGCCGCCCTTGTCATCTATAGCAGCGTTCGTTCAAATCACTTGGCCCGAAATGACGCAATTTGCGGGCTTTGACAGTCTGCTTATTGCGATTATTTCCTTTTTGCGTTGTCCATGACAGAATTTGCCACAACGCTCAAGTCCATTGTGTGCAACAACTAAACCCGATGCAACCTTCTTATCAGAACTTTTTCATTGTCAGTTGAAAAGTATTTCTGCCCATCGCTCTCTACCGTTTTAGGAAATATGGTTTCGGAAGCAAGAAGACAAATCGCTAAGATCTGGCAATCTCAATAAATACAAGATTCCGATCGACTTGGCTGACATCGCTTCGGGCGCCGATCCCGCAAAATTAATTGACCTAGTACAAGCGGTACGTCCTCTTCACGTTAGCATCCTAAATGCCCAGAGATCGAACTTTTGTCTGTTGTAGGTCTACCCAGAACAGTAGTTCCGAGTTCGACTGTTTTGTTTGCCACCTGTTAAGTCTATCCACCTACACATTGTATAGACGGTAAGGCAGCTGACGCGTACCCAAGTATCACGTTGGTTTCTAGACTCGGAGGTATCTGGGTCAAGATCGACAATAAGGCCCTTGACTCTGCCATCAGCTTCTGCCATATCAAGTCAAATCTCTTGTCAAACGCACAAAACCAGATGAAATCCAACATAGGTGCCGCATGACGTGTGATCTTCGACTCAGCTGCTCTCCGAATGTTACTTGAGAGCGGAATGAGCGCAATATGCTGCCCATGCAAAGCAATGCCTTGGATAAGATATTCGTGGTGAATGGAGGTGGTGTCGCTGCTCTCTTGAAGGAGGCGTCAACCGCCAGATTTGATCCTAGAGCCTGGTTTGGAGGCAAACAAGTAGGACTTGGAACTGTCGTAAACCATTGTGTACATAGCAAAACAGGTTCACTTTATTTCGTCTGCTCGCTCCCGGACTAGGCAAACACCTAGATGTTGGATAGGTACGAACAGCTGAGAAGCTATTAAGTTGGACCAACTGTGCTCCAGTACAGCAGCAGAAGGTAGGAAAGCTGTGTGTCAAACCTGAGAGACAGTGAGCCAAAAGTACCATTTTCATGACTGACGACCGCTTATGTCATTGTGATATAGACGGTTCTTACTCTTGGCTAAACAGTTGACTTCGTCGCATTGTTTTTCTTCGTTTTAGCAAGTTGAGGAGCAGAACGAAGCCGCCGCGAAGGAAAGATCGAGCCAATCATGAAATGCATCGCTTCCACACGGACACCAAACGAACTCGCCTTAGATTTTGATGGGCAGTTTAAGGCTTTCTACTTACCCTACTTTTCTCTTCACCATCCACCATTGACATAAAATCGCAGTAAGGTGCTCATTTCTGATATAAAGACGTTTATTTACATGGTGGCAGCGGGGTTTCGCGTGGATCATTCAATTTTTATTCGTTTGGCAGTTAAAAGATCGTCCATTTTTGCTTCGTTGTCGTCTTCGTCTCCCATGGGCTGAGGGGCATCTTTGGTGAAATTAAACTCGGCATTTTGCTGCGCCATTACTTGTCGCAGCCACGGGGACGGTGTCCAGGGAGGCCTGTGGCGTTTTGTTGCCGCAGTGACTGCCGGGGCCTTGACTGAAAGAGCAGTTGCTTCGGATCGGGCGAGGACAACTCGACGTTCTGCGGGGTGGAGTAGGGTCAACGATTCCAAGGTGATGTCTGGACTGGCAATGACCTCAGTGCTAAGTCGAGATATGCCACCCTTGCTAGCCTTCCGTATCCAGCGGAGGATTGCAGCAACAATCTTTCGTACCTGAGACATTAAACAGGAAACACTGCTTTGTAAAATGTCGAAATAAGTCCTGTTGCAAGAACGGTGACCGTGCACACTGGGAACTATGAACTTAGAGAGAGCTACGTCAGAGGAGACGGTCAGGTCTCACGCCTAGTCAACAACCTTAGAGTCGCTTACCGCACTACAAAATGTGAATGGGCAAATGGACTTAGGTAGTAATGTACTGAGCGTCATCTGAACCCACGTCCCTCGTCGTCAACAGTTAAGTTGATTGAAAAGAAAAATTGGAAATGGGATGAGAGGAAGGCTGAATAAAACTAACTAGCAGAATTGATGCGATGACAGTTCGGCCGTCGCGTCCAACAATGTCCACCGTGCACTCAACAGCAGAGTGAGAGCAGACACGGTGACTTGCGCGTGGATTAGCTTATAGTGAGTAGACTTGCGCGGCATCTACCGCATCCTCTCCTCCCCCAGTCTTGTCAAGACATAGTCAAGAAGACCGGAGGCGAGAATGGGTGCAGGTAGCTAGTGCGGCCGGACCCGTGCCTAGGCGTACAGCCACACTTGTGTGCTGATGGGTGATGTCGGTGTGCGCTGCATATGCTCGTGAGGAGAAATGTGGTAGTCTGGTATGACCGGCGGTGATCTACCGCAGGCTTCCATGAGTGCGTATGTGGCCGAGTAGGCCCGTGCGGGGGCAATGCGAGCAGCTGAGTCAAGTGCGTCTCTTGCATGTTAGTGCTCTAGGCACTGGTTCGCCAGTGTGCCCCGTAAACGGGCCACTCGGGAGATGCACTGGACCAACACGGGGGCCATATCGGACTCCGGCAGGGGTTATCGGAATGCGCACCGTAACAAATGCCAACATGTTGGGGCGCGGTGCAGTGACGGGCCCAGTTGCCGGTCGACGTCGCGCACACTAGGACCCTGCGGCCCCCGTCACTGTTGTTTACAATCCTGGTCATTTGTTGAGTGGGCCAGGGGTGTGGAGTGGAGAACCAAGGTGCGGGCTCGGCCGTGCCCTCCCCCGCCTCCGATCTTCTTGACTCTGTCTTGACACCGGGCTCAGGTGGGGGAGGAGGAGAGTGCAGTAGACGCTGCGCAAGTCTACCATCAGTATAAACTAACTCAAGCTCAAGTCGCCGTCCCTGCTCTCACCTTGCTGTGGAGCACACGGTGGACATAGTCGGAATCGACGGCCGAACTGTCTTTGGTTCGCCAGTCTCTATGCAATGGACTCGCAGGTGACCGACGGGACGATGTGAGGTGAATGTGCGGGGACAGTGTGGACAGGATAGGTCGGGGACGACGCAGGTGGTTTTCACAGTGATTGTGGTAGAGATGCTGGTGATGGACGCGCTGGGCAATGAGGTACTGATTGGGCTAGGCGTGGTGATAGAGAAGGCTGTGCAGAGTTATAAGACGTCCTGAACGGTTCTTACTCTTGGCCAAACAGTTGACTTCGTCAAGCTCTACAACGGTATCACAAGAGTCTTTATACTACCAATAAAGGCTATCGCGGGCTGGTGCATTTCCCCAAAACGGCAGCCAAATTGTCCTATTGGATGCGATTGGCGGTCTGCACTGGGTCTGTGCTGATCATCAGTGTGGCACGCGTCAGACGAGGCCGACGCCACGTCAGCCGCAGCACCCAATCGCACAATTAGACAATCGAAGAGCTCAGATCGGCCGCATGCACGTGGGAGAGCGGGGCCATAGAGGTAGACGTTCCCACTGTAAATCGTGCGCCACAAGTCTGGCGCGTTCGACGCTATCACGACGCGCTAAAAGTTGTTGCTTAGAAAGGTAACAGCCGGCAGGACAATTCGCTTCTCCTTTGGGGGGAGGGCCGGACTACAAGGGCTTTTTCTCGGTATAGCCTTTATGGCGCAGCCCACTTCTGTGACACCTGAGCTGGTATAAGTAAGACGGTAACTTTAGATCGCGTCAACGGTTGTGTCCAATCTCTCAGTCTGCTTGACTCGGAAAATCCACTGATAGTTGGGAAGGAGTGAGGACGGTCCATCCAGGATCTACTACAAACAACCGAATGCGCTTTCAAACTATCATGACACGCTAACAGTCGTGTCTTGGAGGATTCCTAGATGACGAGGCACTCCGTTCCTACTAAGGACTGAATGTCAAGTTGCAACGGCTGCTTGCTGTGGCCTTTAGAGCACTGACACGCGTGGAGTTAAGAACCGGGTCGATAGTGGCCAGCGCAAACAATGTCTTTGTTAATTACTGCGTCCATGCGGCCCTCCGATTGTCGGGACGCAGTGGGTGTGGGAAGAGGGGGCGAAGTAGATGGAACAAACGAGCAAATCCGCGGTTGCGCCTATTCGGTGGGGTAATACTGCACCTCGTCACCGGTGATGGTCGAATTGTCGTACCCTCGGATTAGACTCATTGTTCAATACTAAAGCGATCCGGAAGTTTTTCCTTCACCAGCCAAATCAGGTTAATTATATTATTGTCCAACGAGTGTCCCGTGCTCTGTGCACAAGGTAGCACTGACCGCCTCAAAAGTATAATATCACTCGATGAGATTTATTATCATCTCCCCCCCTTCAGAGTACCTTTGCAAAGAAGGGGCGGTGATCTCAAACATGGCATGTTTATCTCTCTGGTGTTTTGAAACACCAGAGCAAGCTCTCATCGTCAGTGGGAAGGGTGTGGTGACACTGGGCTCCGCAGTGTTTAGCAATCTTCACGGCTGCACTACCGTGAGGTGGGTTATATTACGCCGACCTCCCACCATCGGCGTGACGGGTCTTAGGGGGCGCAGGGGTGTAGACAACTGCCGATCTTACGTTGATAGCCGTTCCACTGTTCACGTCGGTGACGGCATGCGTCGCATATTAGAGTGCGACGCCAGGAAAACAAAAATACGTTCCAAAAGGTCCCATGTCCTCTGTACTGGAAGACGCACCTTTGCTTCTATTCAGAAAGCCTTCACCGCTAGCTAGTGGATTCGCAAATTCCACTTATCTAGAGACTGAAAGTAGTTTCAGGGTATGTGGGAGACCTATGGGCAACCGTCATGCTTTCCAGGCGATGTCGTTTTAATTGTTCCGGACCGGGACATCTAGACGATGCGTCAACCTGTCATGTCGGCTGAGGTGGATACCGGCAGCAGCAGCTGCTCTGCTACCTGTTATTGCAAAGAAGGCAAATCAACGGCGCCTCCCGGTAAAGTGACAACCAGATGACATCGAAATTGCACATTCTCCTCTTAGTCGTAATTGTAATCTGGGAGCCGGAAAATGAGCATAGGGGTGTCCAGGTTGTCACTTCTTCCGGAGCTCTCAGGGACAGAGGATACCAAGAGGAAACGGGATTAGATTTCGACAGAGTGGTGACTAGGGCGGTCCAACCAGTTCGGGCTTTTCAAATACATGTGGTCGGAAAGCATGGACAGGTGACAATCCCCAATTATCAGAAGGCGTGAGGAATACTCTGTGCCAAAATAAGAAATGTGGTTTTTGTTGACACGTACTGTGGCTGATTCGTGGCTTCGAAGGATTTGAAGTTCCCAGAGGACTGCGCTTGTTGGACGACATAGCTCTGGATCACCAGCCTCAGGATCGTAGACCCCACCGATCTCCGTTTCTGAGTCGAAGAGGACTTCACATTTTGGGAAAAGGGTAATGAACTTCAGCAGGCTAACCAGCATTGAGCCTACACAGGCCGTGTCACTCTAAAAGGTCAATCAGAGCGAAAAAACTCAACACAGTTCAGGAGAAACACTAGTGTTTAAAAGTTCACGACTTTTCGGAAGACTGGAAGTACCTTGCAACGGGTTTCGTTTCCATACAACCTTTCACATAATCACACTTAGCGGCTTTAGGTAGACGTGCTTAATTATAATTTCTCCAGTTCGAAGGGACGGGCAATCACTTCTAGGATTTGAATAATGGCGGCCTCTTTTTCGGTGAGTTGCAGATATCATGCCGGCTCCCAAAGCCCTTCTATGAGAAAGTGATTTTCTAAAGCACATTCAACAAGTCAACGTAATGTAGCAGGACCTCGGAATATTACTGTGTATTAAATCAATTCCGTTGGCGGACGTCTAGGGAAGAGTGACTAGCCTTTATCTTTGGAAAAAGGCAACGTTAAAGGATAACGTACAGGATCGGCGCTTAAAGTGGCTGGGTAAAGTAGTTGAGGCAGCAAAAGTTAGGCATTAAATCCTTAGACTGTCATTCATTCAGCCGTCATGGGCTTCCCAGAAGCCTAAATAGACGTGCTGTGCGCAATGCCACGGGTTGTGAGGCTGCTGCTCCAACGAGAACTCATAGTTCGGAAGCAACACCGGGGGTGTCAGTTGCCCCAACGGAAAGTCGACTTCTCACAATCAACAAAGAGGTCTGGCTAGGAGTAGAGGGATTTATATAGCCGCAAGAAGCTCTGTGAGAAAGTGTCGGGGCCTTTGCGCATTTAGGAGCCGCGCCGACGTCGCTATCGCTGCTTTAGTATTCGGCTACTGAACTCAGAAGGTAACCGCCCTACCAACTGATCTCGCTGGCCTTCCTGGGTAAACTGTTTGTGGGATAAGGAAAAACGCTCGGCTAGTCAGATAAGATCGTTAGGTGCTGACAGCCAGCAGACATCAGTACAAGTCTTTTGGCAGAATATCCTAGCTTGAAGTGATAAACGACTGCTGGACTAGGCTAGTAGATTTCATTGATACCTCAGTCCAAGGCGCGTTTCAGTGTTTTGCCTAGGTACTGTTCCAGGCTAACTAATCAGGTGATGTTTAAGGGAAATATGCTTGGCAACTTTATTTAGCCGGCACACCTAGCTAACTACTTCCTGGCAATCATTTGTTCATTTTGGCGAGCAAAATGGAATGCACTATGGCGCTTTAGTCCACTGGTCTACGCCGCACCCGGGTTCTCATTTAACTGACCGCAACCTGAGATGTCCAAGGCCTGCGAAAACTCATTAACAGCACACATGTGCTTTTGTCCGATACAGCTCTGACTTGTGCGACCTCCATGATGTCCTACACACTGACTGAGTTTGGTTCAGCGCTGAATGCCAGGGGTCCAGGAACCAACGCGTGCGTGAATTAGAAGCCTCGGATCTGACATAAGTGAGTGCCGTGACGGCCACATCAAGAACTGATTACTAGCCTGACCCTCGGTCCTGAGAAGGACCGCGCAAAAAGCGCGTCGTGTTCGCACACTTAGCCTTGTTCCATGTGTCAAACATCTTACTGTCAGTGACCAATCTCATGGAATGAGTCGAAATTCTGAAATGCGTTTCCGATCGGGAAGGATTATTTGGGTTGAGTTGTATTACTAATTATCATGCGATATAATCATCTCATGATGTTTCAGACTCGCCAGGGTGTTGGCTTGTAAAAACTGCACTCGGTAAAAAATGACCACTAACGTAGTATGAAGTTAAACATTTATTTTGTAGTGCCCTATTTTATTCAGATATATTTTATAGAAAACATGCACAAAGGTATTCTTGTACTCATTTGGTAGCAAATTAAGTCTTCAAATTTCATGCTTGATAAAGGAGTAACTTTCGGTTTTAAAAAAAGTTCCTGACTGAGATTTTTTTTAAGAGGGCGCAATGTCCATACAACATCGTGCCTGCCTGTTTATAAGTGTGCTGACGAAGTATACACCAGAGTCCACATCAGTTGCAAAATTGTATGAGCTTTAAATGGCATCTCAAAGGCGTAGAGGGATGTATGATCATCCTTATGTGGAAATTACACACATAAGACTGTAAATGCAGAGGCAGATTGGACTCGGAGTTATGCGGGGATTGAAACACTTTTTTAAAACCGGGCATAAAATTTGAAAGCGTAATTTTCCATCAAATGACTGCAAAAAAGAATATTTTTGTGCACGTCTTCTATAAAATATATTTAACCTTGTAAGGGCACTGAAAATCACTGGAAAATTCATACTACTTAAGCGGTCATTTTCTTACCGAAAAGAAATACATTCAAAAGGCAATATTCTGACGAGTTTGGAATATCATGGAATTATGCCGTGTGATAATCATTGTTACAATATCACCTAAGTAACCTTTCCTGGTCGAAAACGCTTTTGAGGACTTCGACTGACATTTCATGGAATCGGTCACTGACTGTACGATCCCAAGCACTCCCAGTCATGATTTCCGACAACTCTACGTGGTAGATGGCCTACAGGCATCTGTAACAGGCTTCAGCCACGTGGCATGACGCCGTGTCGGAGTGGATTGAAGGAAGGGATTACTGAAACTTACAACTGCTATACAGACTGAGGCCAGGCGCTTTACAAAGGCCAAGACACGGTTGGTGGAAATCTCGCGCTTGCGGCTAATGAGCAGCATATCGAGGCAGGAAAGAAGGACATCGGTAAAACGCTCAGTTTCGCCCAGTGGTATGCCCCGTCGGGCTGGCGTCTTGTCCTCTTCCGATGCCGCCTCCACCTGCGAGGCCAGAAGCTGCTGACGTTGGTCTAGCGTGGACGCAGCCAAGGCGGCTGGGGTCCGCGACCAGGAGAAATGTGAGAGTCCGGGTGCGCGACCGCGGTCAGGGCCGATGGTGGCAGTTGGGCCTCCCCGAAAATCGCATGTGCCTGACATACGACCTAGAAGAACGTATAGATGATTGTAGAAACGTGTCGGATCGACGTTCAGTACAGAGGCAGCCGAGGAGGAGTTGAGGATTGATAGTGCTGTGTGCACACAGTGTAAGCTATCCTGAAGGATGGACCTCTAAAAGTAGGAAAAAAGTGTGCCTACCAAACAGCAGAAACAGAATGGCAAATAGGAGTGAGATAAGCAATTGGCGAATACAGTTCTGCATTCAGTTCACATAAGGCCAGTATGTGGGATACAGGCTTGGACGATGCCTTTCTGTTAAATAAACCTCTGACCCTACTACCGACTACTCCATTAGCACTACCTGACTGCAACGGCAGTCTCACCGAAGTACGAAGAGACTACAGAAGTGAGGAAATAGGCTGTCGTGCGGCCAACATTGTATGTCAAACAGTTTAAAACGAAAATCTAACGAATTAGCAAGTCCAAGAATAGAGACAATTGACAGAAATGTATTGAATCGCTAAAGACCGCTCAGTAGTTGAGACCAGTTCTATTCGACCAGACTTCATAAGGGACACGCAACATGCGGGAAGTCCCGCTAGCACGATAGTTCCTCGTTCGTTACGCAACCACATCTAACCACTGGCATTCTACGTTGAAATATTGGCACTGCCAAAATGATATCGATCTGTCTGCCTACAAAAATGAAAACGAGTACGAGAAAAGAATCGGAAGGAACAATGATTTTATCCACCCGACGCCTCAGCTGTACGATCCGCCTACGCTCCCGAAACCATAATAAAGAGATGGCAACTGACGCAGGTAGCGGACGCAGAGGCGGTAAGGCATCTGCAGAATGAAGCTACTACACGCTATTGCACCCACCAAAATAAATCGGCTGCATTCTTCGCAGATGGTCGTCTTTAGTGGCGACAATGGCTTGGTCGTTCGTATATGGGCCGGTAACTGCAGCTATTCCGTCACTGGTATTGATGACTCACATGATAATGCGACTCGACATAACTGCCACCGATGTCAGTGTCCATCCATGCACTCCCCACGTGACCGATTGCCCTACCCTAGTAAAGAAATGACACCAATCCGCCTGTTGGTGTACTGCGGGCCGGAAAACCACGACTCATGGCACGCAACTGTCACACCCTGCAGGGTTTCTGGACTCATCAAACTTTGATATGTGGCCATTCCCAGTGCGTGAGTTGCGACTTGAGAGCGAGCATCATTCCATCCTGCTGTGAAGGTGTGTTTTGCGTCTGTAGTGATCAGATATCTCCGATGTTGTTGCTTTTTCCTCAAAAGCGCCAGGTTTGGCATACGACCCCCCCCCCTCTCCGGCGTCTCCTGCCCCGACATCAGACCTTTCGGCCTCATCACTTGGCGCCCGATTGTCTCCTGTCTGTGCAAGTACGAGCGATGTGAGAGAATGGTTGACGGCTTCAGAGGTGTTCTTGCCAGCACTTCGAAATTTTGGACTCGATACGCTCCGGCTCCCGACCTTGTCTTTGCATGTGCTAAATGGCGATGGTTCAGAGATAACCATCTGCTCTGAGCACCCGTCAAAGGTACCGTTGGTCCACTAGAGTGAGTCTCAGTGCACCGAATTGACTCGACACAATTTAAATGAACATCACGCCTCTTGGTGAGACGCGCTTTTGCGAACAAGGAGAACTAAGCAAAGTCGTGCAGGGTACATTTAAAATGGACGTTCCAAAGCAGAGTGGCGAGACGACAGAGTCGCCTTCACTGTCAGAAGGGGCTGCGCAAGACAACTCTTCTGTCCCTCACAGGGGACCAAAGAACGTCACATGACCGTGAAACTCTACTCTGCGGAAGAAATTCTCCAAGGGCACCGGCGTCTACACCGCCCACCCCCAAAGTACATGACCTGGCAACATAGGTAAGTTCTATGGAGAGCTGTAAGCCCTCCCGCAGTTGTGTCGAGGACTAACAATGACTGTCCTTTGCGGCCTCGGTGCCCGTGAAGGAGAAAAAGAGACAACATACGACCTATGCGAACAACGGCCGCATTCTTCTAACGCCGACGCCCAGTGTAGTACTGAATCTGGGGCGGTGACGCCACAGCTCATCTCAAACGACACAAGACTAAAGGCAGAGAAGGTGCAGATCCTGGAGCGCTGGGTCGCAAATCTGCAACCTGCTAGGAAGCCGCCGATAGAACTAAAGGGACGATATTAGCTTCGGCTGCCGGGCTGTTAAATCCCGGCGAAACCTACAAGTGCGGCGACCTTCAACTCATGTACAAACTTACCACACTGTTCCAGGAGCTGCGGCAACAAGGAGAACTACCGTAAGTTTTCATGGACGCACTTACTGTCCACATGAGCGGACGAAAGTAAAACCAATAAATCTGTCTTCTTACTACTTCGGGCAAGGTACCAGATCGCATGTTACGCTATCCGCTGAGCGCACACACGAGCAGGGACTCCTTTCTAAAACCCAGTGCACTTTCTGAAAGTACTCGGGCATCATGGACATGCTCTTTGAAACTGCACAAATCAAGTAAAAAGAAATGACAGCCAGCCTCTACAATATTTCTGGTGATCTGATAAAGACATTTAAAGCCGTGAAGGGGGGTCAGCTAAGGAATATCATGTTGAGATGCAGATGTTCGGCACGATTCACTCAACTACACGTAGGCACGATGGCACAAGTCACGGGCAATTGTGGTAACAGGTGCGGTTTTGGACAAGTGAGTGTCCAGGAGTACCATCTCAAGAAACATCAAGGTCAGTGAGGAAATTTCAATTCGCATCTTCAATGTCATCCAGGCTGCAACATCCAGTATGGAGTCGCCATGGCATCCTCCTTAGCAGGACACTTTGGACATGCATGGCTGTCGTCCTGACTACGCCCCTGTAGGAGGCAGGACCGCGAACAGCGTCCAAACGACAGGCAAGAAGGCTAAACCATTTTAACCTCTGTTGCCTCCGGAGAGTACCGAAGATGAAGCTCGAGGAAGGATTCCCAATTCCGCAGTCACAGAATGAGCAGCTATGCTTGACATCGATGCTACTCGAAAGCAGGTGTAGTGCGATGGAGTGGTCATGTCAAGCGTCTGCCAAAAAATTATTCTATAGTAATTTTGCTACGGGTAATTGTGGGCACTTGGACAAAATTGACGATACACGGTCACTCTGAAGACCTCTTTCACGCACTCGCAAATCAAAAAGCATGCGTGGGAAGATACAGCACAGAATGAGCTGGTTCAGCACACTGCCGTAAGACTTGAAGTAGCCATCTTAGAATACAACAACATAGGGGAAAGCAAGGTAAAGCATACAAGACTGTATTGCCACAGACTGACGCCCGGACGTGTTCATGTGTGGTACGTATGCTGATGGGGAAGTGTGATGTTGTAATTTAGTCTGCAGCGTTGTACTGCAGGTTTTCGTGTAAACGCATGTGATCGAGTAGGCCAACGCGATGGCTGTGTGTGCGGGGGCAATGAGGGCAGTTTAGGCGGTAACGACCGGTGTATGTTGGGGGCTCCAGGCACTGGTTCACTAGTCCTGGCGATAGACTCACTAGTGACCAATTCGGCTGAGGCGGTGGCAGTGTGGGCAGAAAAGGTTTTGAGTTGCAGAATCGGTTGCTTATAGGGGTGGATGTGACCGAATAGGCTCATATGATGAATGAATGTGCGTGTGAATTATGTAGACAGTGGGGGCGGTTGCGGTGAGCGTATATCGGGATTCCTAGCACCGGTGTACCTGTCGCAGTGCGGTGGATTCGAAAATAACTGGACAGGCTGATGTGTGAGATAAATGTGAGATCACAAAAACTATGAGAGGTAACCTACCAACAGCATTGTGACGGGTAAAACCTCGTGCAGGAGCGCGTTTCTTTAAAACCTAATCATGCAGAGTGAGAGCAACGTGTGTATGGTGCTTGTGGACGGAGGTCTTTACGTCAAGTTGGCCGCTGGTGTTCGAGAAAGACAGGAAAGGGTGACACCGGTCCATCCAGGATAGAGCACTTAACTCCTCACTATAAGCGGACGAATGCGCTTTGGAGCTATCAGGACGCGCTGACAGTCAGACCCGAAGGATTCATAAATGACGGCCTCATCCGGTCCTCTTCAGAACTTCAGGCAACGATGGCTCTTTAGTATGGTCTTTAGAGCACTCTAACTTATAGTTCGAGGCCCCCATAATAAAGCCTGGCGAGCGTACAGTCAGGAACCGGTCGGTTGTGGCAGGCACAGACGAGGTGTGTACCCTTGCCACCCGCCGCGCGCACGCAGCCGTGCGATCGTCGTGGCTATCTTATCATAGGAACGCGGTGCGTTTGGGGAGAGACAATGCAAGTCTACTTCACCACAGAAAATTCGCAACCGTTTCCACTCCGTAGGGCGGTGATGGACCCTAACGCTGGCGACGGTCGCTCTATTGATATAATGAATCAGAAGTACCTGACTAATACTCCTAGTTGTTGTTTACATTTGGAATGTGGAAAAAAGGTTGTGCGGTGACGGCCGGACAATCGGCCATAAGAGCCAAATACCTACAAGTACCTTTTTCAAGCTCTTTAAATTGCTAACTTGTCTACGATAGACCGATAAGGTACAAACATTCAGGGACAGTGTGATTATGCTTAAGGAATGACGCCCGATAAGAAAGCAGTTATCCACGGTAAGGGAGGTAGCCGACAGAGGCAAACTTAAGGTCCCGCACAGCCAAACCTGTACTAAGCCCTTCGAACAAGGAGCATGATTCCTGCTGTCAACGGCATGTTGCCGACTGCGAAGGACGAACGCTGGAAGCTAACGTGTGTGGCGAATATAATTCCAAAGGCTCCATTACAACGTCGAGTTGCTTGAGCAGCGAAAAGGAATGTCTTCGAAAATCTAATCGTGAGGTAGCACAGACTTGCCTCAAGAAGGCGTCTTTCGGACACTACACTAGAGGCCCCTTTTGGCGTATGGAGAACCGGTAATTTAACACCAATAAGGAATTTCGAAAATCTGTGTGTCACGAAGCAGAAAGGCATAAAGCAGAGTACATACCTCGTTTGATAGAACCTCATTACACAAATGTAGCAGATTTTCAACATATTCCACATTTATGACATGCGCATACCTATGAGGATGTGAGTAACATGAAGAGGGGGACAGCAAAACCTACGTCGACAGACCCGCCAGAACAGCAGATAGGAGATCCGAATCTCTTGTAGTTTTTAATATTTTGAAATAAACAAACAAGATCTCCTTCAGTATTTGCGAGTTCTGTCGAAAGAAAACGTAGGATTATAACAGCAAAAGGATGTGGACCTACAATGCGCAAACGCTCTTCGTGCGACTTAGAGGCCACAGTCTCCGCCTGATCTTTCTCAAACTTAGCCAAAACCTTGTCTTTCTAGAAATAAAGAACGGCAGTGAAAGGCATGTTTTAGGAGGTGGAAAGAGGTAAACCTTCCGTTCCCGTCGAGACTTCAATTTCCTTTCAATGCGACTTCTCTTATCTGAACTATTTTTGTCCGCAACCTCCTTGATGGGTATGCCCGCGAGTACGTAAGCAACGTCAGGAATAATGCGGTAGTTCAGTCCACGCGCTAACCGGTGAACAGCCCGGCAAACCTTACAAAGAACATTTCCATTAATGCTGGTCATCAGTTTACCAATAGCGTGGGCTCTCCAGACGTGTCAGTGTTGAAAATGGACTTTAGACTGTGGCTGACAATTTCTCTAACCTAAAGACAGTGTGGGTCAGAAGAACCTTCGAGCGTACACTAGAGCGTCGATCCAGTAGGTGGGGGAGAATGGCTCGTAGTAAGTCATCCGAGAAATTGAATGTGGGATTGTTCTCAAAAAGCTGACATGCACATTTCAGAGCCGATAAGCGCTCGACCTGAGGAGGTGAAAAGGCAAATGTAGGAGCTACCGTTTTCCACTTTGTGTCAGCGTAGGTTCGCAGACTTTTTGGCAGTTTACGTCTACCCCTGTCTGAAAGGAGAGATTGCAAGGTTTACCAAAAACACCTACCTTTCAGGATAGTTTGCAAGAGTAGTACATACTTTTCGTAGTTTTGGAGAAGGATTGACTCGAAACGCCATATTCGTCGAGTTTCCTTTTTGACCTGTGAAACGCGATGGAAAATATAGGCGGATGGGAATCGACTATATTGTCAACTTCCGAGCACTTTTACAGTGTAAAACACATGCGACAAGAAAGTGTCGTGGTTATTTCAATAAAGAAGGCGGTAGTCGCAAACGACTGAACTTAGGCAGAACACTTTGAAATTATAAAATTCAGGGCTTCCTGTTTGGAGGTGAGGACTTCCAAATAATACATGTCACATGTTCACAAAACATATTTGACTATTAGGGGGATAGACGCTTGTTAAAAAAACGCAATCGTAAGAAAGTCGGTTGGGGAACTCTTACATGATTTTAATTGCGCGGACCAGGCAGCTTTAGAAACAATAGCATAGGGTTTGCTGTGAGAAATTCCCCAAAAACATCTGCGAATTTCTTTGTAATCAAAAGAATTTCAACATCGAACGAACTATATGCAGATTGCTGACATGTCCACAGCATAAACTTAAATAGTTTACGCTTTCAACAAAAAGTTAGTCTGTCTAGATGGTAAGAAGGCCTTCGATTCAGGGTGAGGAAAAATTCACAATCTCAAAGGCTTAACTTGCCAGGAGTTAATTTAACAGTATTGACCAAAACATGGGTTAAAACAACAATTCTAAATGAAAAGTTTCATTTTTAAAATAGGAGATGCTTGTAGTGGGTGCCATAAACCCCGGTTTAACTATGCAGTTTTCAGGGTCATCAGTTTTTGAAACACATAATGTCAAATTCCCAACAGACACGACAAATAATTGCTAGCCTAGTCGAGAAGAACGTATTGGAATGGTAACCCTGACTTTTCTACGATGTGGCCTACCGTCAAAATATTCACAATAGTTGGACGAAAATGTGGCGTGTCGTACACTTGGGCAGTGTTTCAATCTTAACATAATAAATGGAAAAAGAGGAGACGTCCGTGAGAGTTACTTTCACTGAGGCCACGAACTTAGGCCCCGTGGAAATACCAGCAGGTCGACATCAAAAGGTGGGAAAGCAAGTGCTACTATAGAAATAAAGCAACATTCAAGGAAGAAAGTTATGACTGCCCGACTTCTAGGAATAAGATCTTCCAACTTGGTCGTTTCTCTGCGAGAAATTCATTTGAATTCTTGACACCGGAACTTTCGGTGTAAGGGGCTGAAAATCGTCGTTACTATTGAAGCACAGTTAAGAGCGGAAAATTTTATTTTTAACACGGCGCCAAAGATACTAAAACGCCTTAAGAACACTAAATTGCTATACGCTACCCCCCGGACACTATTACTGATTGTCTCCTACAATCAGTAGTCCGGAAGACTAAGCTTTTCTCATGTGTCCCATGACTGGTGAAAATTTTGACTCGTCCATGTTAGATGTGTATTTACCTGTATTCCATAGTATCCTGAAATTCCTTGCCATCGCCTGGCCCTTGATCACTATAACGAGATGGGGGAAGTTCCCGCCTAAGAGATACTTTGTTTCCAAACGACGAGACTATTAGTCGCCGCTCTGTGCACTCATGCGGACATCTGTGCACTTCAAGGTTTGGAGAGACCCCGACCGGTTTTCACATTATGCCTTAGTGTCTAGGACAAGAAGCTTCAATCCCTGCAAATCGAATGGCTATGGCCTTTTGCTTAAACACAATAGCATCGCTGTGTCCAAAACCCAAAGCCAACTCCTTCCAATCTTCTTAGCGGCACATACCAAGTTTGTTTTCAAGTGCTTAGCCTGCAGTTGCTTTGATTTATAGTGCAATGATCGTGAAAATAACTTGCCCTGCCTTCACTATTTGACGACTGTAGTATCGACAACCGCGTCAGACGCAGATGAAAAAATCTGAAAACTGGTCTTGTCTGGGCATGTCTTATAGACAGATATGCTACATGTCGTTCCAGATGCCTTCCACAATTTCTGCTGTTTCCGAGTCGGTTGGTTTCGTGAATTACTATCACTGATCAGTAACCAGAAATGTAGTTTGCAGACGGCAAAAGTTAATGACTCTGCAGCCAGCCAGTTTTCAGCTAACGGTTTTCCTTTGGTGACAGCTCACTTAAAGTACTGACCTTGGCGGTCGTACACAAACAACCGAAAATAAACGGGCGAGGACGAGCCACACGACAAACGCAAGTCAGCAGAAAAACAAGAGTTAGACAATAATTATTGCCCGGAAATTGCCCTCACACAGATCACCACCACTAGAAAACCACCAATAGGTGCATTGGCAGGTATCCTCTGATAAAATTTGGTCGTTAATTCTCAAAGCGCCGACTGGAACGGCCATCCAGCTACTTTGAATGGAAAGACGTGTCACTAGGATAGGTGGGGCCCAAAACCAGGCGGAAGAGACGGCTATGTAAACCTCAAGTGCAACGGCGGTGGATCGAAGCAGAAATAGAAGATGGGTCAGCATCTGTAACTAAATTTTGCTGCGTTTATACTTCCAAACCCGGTCTGAATGGTTAAAACGAGGTATTTTAGTTTGCCAAAGCTACGACCTCAGGTTGGCAAACGTAAAAGATCCGAATCGATAACCCGAGAAAAATGAAGTGTTCACCGGAACAAGGGAATTGTATTGCTAACGCTTTGGAGAGGTTTGCCGGCTTTCCATTATCAAAGCGTTTAGTGCATGAAGCGAACACAAATTTGAATATACGACCGAATTAGTTGGCCTTGAGCCGATCGATTTTTTCTTCTTTCGCTTCATTGGCCTTCTGACCGTCGTTTGTGAATGCCAGTGGCCTTCCGTGTTGTGTGTCATCATCTCAATCGGGGTTAGCTGCGCTTGTGCCACCCTTTCGGGTGAATTACTCGACGGGCTGTGTTTGCTAGGTATTCTTAAGCTCTGCGAAACCGTCTTGTCTTGGCCATGGCGTATGAAGTTACGCAGGACTTTGTGGACCGTGAGAAGGTCTAGATGCCTGTTGATGGAGTTGGCATCTGAGTACTAGGCCTCGATTGTGAGACGTCCTCTCATTGAGGTGCCCCCGCCTAAGACGGTTGTTTCTGGGAAATCAAAGCTGCGGCCGGTTTCTCCGATGTAAGCCGCAAGCTGTAAGTTCGTGTCTAGTCTCCGAGTCGCCAGTCTGTGCTAATGTAGGCGGGTCTGCAATTTCTGTCCGGTTTCCCCAACGTACCTGCAGTTCCCACCGCTAAAACGTGCTTGATAAACAATTGCTAAAGTTTCGGTGGGTGAAAGTAGGTCTTTGGGTTGCATCAAACGGCGAAGAATTGATGCCTGGGGTCCATGGGCAATGCTTAACCTGGTCGGTTGTAACAGTTATGAAACCGCCTCAAAGACTCCTTTAGTGTAAGGAATAGCCCTCCACACTTCGGGTTGTTCTTCTTGTGGTCGTCTTCTGTTCACTGGACGCCTGCTTTGCTTGGTAAAGTGGCTTGGGCATTCATTGGTCCGAAAAAGGTCATGAAGGTATTGTCGTCCAACTCTTCCGTAGGCTGGTGTGCTGAAGTGCGTTTCAACTATTTGCAATAGAGTACGGACACAGCTGCGTTTGTGAGAGAGTGGGTGCTTGCTGTTGAAGTGTGATATTTGTCTTGTGTTGGTTGTTTTCCTGAAACGGTAATTAGCAATTGCCCAGTAGCACACCGACGCAAACAGACATCGAGGAAGGGACGTTGGTTGTTTGTTTCAGCTTCCATCGTGAATTAGATATACGGGTCAACCGATTTCAGTAATTCTTTAAGGTGCTCCACGTCAGAAGATTCGACAATGACGAAAGTTTCATCGACGTAACGAACCCGGAACTTTGGTTGATACATGGTAAACACCAAGAGCAGAGGAGGACACCAACATTCACAAACGACGGTCAGAGGGCCAAGACGGCGAGAGATGAAAAAAATCTACCAGTCCAAGGCCAACCAATTCGGCCGTCTGTTGGGAGTTCTGGCCGATTTTTGGACTGAACGCTTTGATAATAAACAGCCGACCAAGCTCTCCAAGACGTCAGCAATACAATTCCCTTGGTCCAGTGATCACTACATTTCTCTCGAAGCTACGGTTCTACAGATAGTCTAACCGAAGATATTAAAACTTAACATCTCATGCGGTGTGCTTAAAATCCTAGTACGACGCTGACATGCACGACTGAACGTGCGCCTCGGAATATAAAGAGAGAACTACCTGTTGTTTCTGCTCCTCAGCAGTCGGCAAACGAATTTTGAAGGTAGGCAGAATATCCTTAAAAACCACGCACAGTGAGACAACTAGCAACTGCCGGAGTTTAACCGATTTCAGAAACAAGGGTTCCAACACCAACTTCAGCAGCTCTCGCAACTTTCCTATCTAAATAAACAGCAATGTATAAAGAGCTCGACAATCACATTTTCGTCAGGATTCTCAATTATAGCGGCGCAGAAGTTTGAAATTTTAAATCGAAATTCAGAAAGCGACTTCTTCCTTGAAAGTAATTTCTGCGCGGCAGAAAGGCATGCACCATCACCAGTACTGTCGTTATCACGCCCGTCCATGAGAAAATACACACAACTTTCAAAAATGTTCTGACTCTCCAAAACAGTCAAACAGAGGTATTTGCGGGAGGGTGAAATGTTGTGATTATCGGAGCTCACCGCTAATATCAAAAAAAGAAATTGTAATTGATCCCGCCGAGTAGTAAGCAGTTCTTGACAGCCTCAATATTTTACGTCGATATGGATTAACATTTTCAGCGAAACATGTTGTCATGACTGAAGTTAATGATGGGGCTTTTGAATCCCACGTCAAGTACATCTTCACAGACATCGTGGGAATAAACGATACAAAAAGCAGGCAGTTAGTGTTTTTCAAACCTTATGAGAGTAACAAGCAGCGAACGTGCGGAAAGTTGCTTCGCATCTTCGACCGCTTGGCAGCTTCATTTAAAAGCTCAGCACATCCATCAATTGCATAACACTTGGGAGTCCGTTGGCCACAGAAAAGCGTGTTTCAAACATTGATTAAGACGCAATGGGAGGTCGGACACTTCAGGATACGCTCGCGTATCTCAACCATTATACTGCCCTGTGCGGCAGCCGAGGGAAAATTATCGTAGGTTAAGCACATCTGGGCGCCGAACACATCGCATGCTCATTCGTTGAGTTTGTTTTGGGTTTTATTTCCTGAGTTCAAAGGGGACTGACAGTGCCCAAGGGTCGCTACAATAAACCTATTCCATAGGGCTTGTCCAGTAGATTTCATATTTTTGACTTCAAGAAGGCCTTTAATCGAATTCTTTCAGAGGTCTTGGAGATAGGAATACGAGGAAGAATGTTTAAATGGATCAGGGGTTTTCTGCCCCCAGAGTTCATACAGCGTCGTTGGTAAATCTACCTCGGAGTGCATAAAAATGGAAATTGCTGTCCAACAGAGTTCTGTTGTAGGACCACCGCTCTTCTTGAGTTGTGTCAATGACCGCATCCACAAAATAGATTGCACTGCTCTCGTGTTCGCAAACCATGTTAAATATGGAGTGGATTCAAGTGCACTGCTGACTCAAGGAAATCGTAGTCAGACGGACAAACTGAGTGTTTGGTCAAACAAATGGTTTTTTTAGGTTTAACGGTCCTTCACCTATATGCCGACTAAAATGCTTCTCTCAAACATCAGTACTATTTTAACGGAGGGCGTTAGAAACTGTAAAAAGATAGAGATATGGGTGCATGGACGACCATAAATCGAATGTCAACAGAAAACTGCAGGATGATAGTCTAGAAGGCAACTAATACTTTAAACTGTATCAAATGTGCACTTAAAATATGCCCTCCTGAACTCTTCCAAAGACTTTTGGCGTCTTTATCAGGCCCTATCTGGAGTATGAAATGACAGCAGCTTCACCATAGATGAGGAGGGATATTGAGTCACTCGGACAGGTGCAACGCAAAGCAAAGAGGATGGTCGACGGTCTAAAGAATTTGTCTTACCGTGAGAGGCTTAATGTGCTTGGACTGCTCCCCCTCTCTTATAGGCAGCTAAAATGCAGTCTACTCTGGACATTCCAGACTGTCTGTGGTCAAGGTTGCTCACTGAAAATGGAGAACGTTTTGAGTTTGCCCGTACAAACAAATTACGCGGTCATCCTTACAAAGCCAAGAGTGAACGCACGCGGCTAGACCGAATGAAGGTTTCATTCAGCCAGCCGGTCGTCCGACCACAGAACCCGCGTCCAAGTTAGATGGTGACGGTCGACGTAGTTTGCGTGTTTTAAAGAAAATTTGTTCACTTGATTTTCGGCAGAAGCCGGCTTTTAGAACATGACTACTCACAGCCAGCTCTGAAAAACGGTTGGGATCGGCGCGCCTTTCGAATTCGGTTTGAAATTTCGACCTCCGAGGGATTTACTTTTTCCGGGATTTCTGCCTACTGGACGCTCTGCGGGCCCATTTGGATTAAGAAATTGAAGCGTAATCAGCAATTCCTCGAACGATCCACTCAGAACTCCGACAGAACTTTCTTTGGGACGACCATACTCCTTCGTATCAATTCTCTGCCAACAGCACCGCGGGGTTCTCCAGATCCAGAAGCGGCTGAGTCGTTTGATATTTACTTCATATTTTTGGCTTGGTTAAAAAGCTTCTCCTACACCTTTAAATACTTCACCCGTACCTAGAATCCCTTGCGTATCGTTTGAATTAATAATGGGAGTCGACAAAACACCATCAGGACAATGTGCGAAAAACTCGCCGCAAGAGCGACTCGAACCCAGGTCCAGTCGTAGTGTGACCAGCGACATGACCGCTAGACTATCGGCGCACGCCCAGCCGACTGAAATAAATAAGGGAGTAAACATTATTCGTAGTACAAACGACACTATGTATGAAGGAATGTCAATTGAGAAGGCCTTGCCACCTAGGATTAGCGCTCGCTCTCTTTATAGTTGCAACCAGGGGCTCGCCAAGCGTGCTAAAAGCGTTATCACAGCAAAACCTGTTAGTTACGAGGACGAGCCATGCACTGGATGCTCATTTATTCTGCTGAAAGTCCAAAAACTCGAAAAAGAGTTGACTGCTTTAAGGGAACTCGTGCAAGCGAACGATAGTGTGCAAAACGCGGTGAATAGCGCTAAAGTTAGCAAGAAAAAGGGAAAGAGCAAAACTCTGAAACAGCCAAAGAACAAAGCATGTGGAAAACCTCTGTGCAAGAGCGCCGATACCCAGGACGATGGGAAAATAGCAACGGAGTCTCTTGTTTCTATGGGAGACAACCCAAGCGAGCCATCAACTTCTCTCAGCCATTCCGCGTGTTCAATAGGACCCTCAGTTGGAAGTGAGGAAACAAGCTCATGGCAAGATGGAAAGGGTAAGCGCCACAACGGGAGTATAGAACCCCAGACGACTCCGGTGGATCTTCTGAGACCTTCAGCTGACAAGGCCACCGGAAACAGAAAAAATGAACCCCTTGATCGTCAGCACTGCGCAGTCGTCCAGGGTCTATCGGAGTCGGATGCTTCTACCCCGAAGGAGAGGATCTCCGCTGACCTTAATATGCTTCAACACCTACTGAACGAAATGCTTAATTCAAATGAAAAGATAACCATTCGCGCAGCCTTCAGGATCGGAAAGAAGGTGAGCGAACAATCAGAAACTGTGCGGCCACGACCTCTGAAAATTGTTTTGAACAGTAAAGAGGAAGCTAGCTTACTTCTGTCCAGGAAAAGCAGCCTCCGAAACTCGCACAAGGAAGTTTTTTTTCAGCCGGACTATTCTCCAGCGGAACGTCTGAAACGCCGCGAATTGGTAACGGAGTTGAAGAGGAGACTTGCAGCGGGAGAGAGCAACTTGGCCATTTTCAGGGGACGAGTAATACAGAGGAACGCGATGTTGTTTTGGAACCAGCCAGTCATCATGATGGCGGCAGCAACATAATATTGGCAAACCCGAGACAAACCGAACGAAGCACTGTCGAATGTTGCAAACTAAAATTCTTTTACACCAATGCTCAGAGTCTGTTTTCCAAGCTTGACGAACTGAGAATACAGGTAGACGATACTTTTCCCGATGTTATAGCAATAACAGAAACGTGGCTGTCAGAGGACGTTGGCGATTGCGAGGTAGCATTAACAGGATACCATTTGTTTAGGAGAGACAGGAGAGGCCGCCGGGGTGGAGGAGTTGCCATGTATGTCAAGAGCAACTTAGAAGTGTGTGAGAGGACCGACAAGATTTCTAACGACACAGAGGCAATTTGGCTGACTATAAAGGCGCGGGGATCTCAGTCCCTCGAAGTCTTAACTGTCTACCGGCCCCCGCAGGCGAATCCCGACCCAGATACTTGTCTACTGAAAAGCATCAAAGAGATCGCCAGCCGACCAGACGTTGTTATCATGGGGGATTTTAATGCACCATGCATTCAATGGAGCGATATGCATGCGAAATGCTCGATGAATACCTTCGATTACCATCTACTAAAGACAACTCTTGAAGCTCTACTCACGCAACATGTCCTGTTTCCAACTAGAGCTCGTGGAGGGCAACAGGCCAGTTGTCTGGACATCGTTTTTACCAAAGAACCATGACAGTATAGACGAGGTGTACTACCTACCCCCGCTCGGTCGATGTGATCATGCAGTGCTTTTATGCGAGTACTTGCTGTATTCTGAACCGTGTACAAAAGACAATACGAGGCCAAATATATGGAAAGGGGACTTTCGCCAAATGAGAGCTGAGGCATCACAAATAGACTGGGATGTTCTCTTCTCCGGAAACGTTAACGAGGACTGGAATTTATTCAAGGATCGTTTACTGCAT